TTAAAATGACCTCGTTTAACGCTGTTTCGTTTAGCGCTTTGTCGTCTAAGAACGCATCCCCAGCATTAAGCGGGGTCTTACTGTATATTATAGTGAAAAAGTATTAAAAATTTATGATAATAATTCAATTTTTGTGGGTCCTTGACACTGGGTCCCCAGGGCATAAGCCCTATTAGTTTGGATAAGCTTATCTGACGCTATGACGAATATCTGAATATGTTGAAAAACAGCTGTAATTATATATTTTTTATTGCAATAACAGTTCAAAAAAGCGACTTCCTGTTCTTTTCTAGCTAATCAAAATTTAATTTCTGACATGCCACATATTGTAACATTCGTATGAGAAACAGTGCTTAATGAACCCAGCTGGATGATGTATTAAATCTCTAATATTTTGCTTTTTCATTTTGTCTACTGTTATGAAGAACAGTATGAATAGTTACAGTATATTTTAGTAAATCTGTAGCAATTCCTGCGACATGATCATATTTTATGTAAAATTAAGGCTTTACACCTATTTAAATTAGACATTGAAACTCTACTGTCACAATAATTATTGTTAGTGACAATTCTTATTTATTAAATCTAGAGTCTATTTTTTAAATGACGAAATTAGTTTTTGCTTCAGTTTTTTACATTTTATGATTTCTTCCTTTTTATATTTCAAAATCATGAATGTAGTTATTTCAAGACAAGTTAACGATCCTATTGCGTGATGAAAAACTATAAAAAGATCGTATGTTAACAGATCACGCATCTTCTTTTTCTCACATTTCTTGTAATAAGTCTTTACAATTGGACTCTTCAATCCGTTCGAATGATTGCATAATGCTTTCTTTGAATCGCTTTCTCTTTTCAAAAATAAGTCATTCGTCATTTCCTACACTTTATATAATTGTTTCTAGAACTTCAGATCATGCAATATAGAGATTAAGTTAGTATTATTTTTACAATTTAATTCTTAATAATATCATATGTAAACTTATTTTTATATATACAAATATATATATAACTAAGTGCTAAATGTCCAGCATCCTTTCAAAACATTACAGATTACAGCAACATAATTATTAAAAGATGAAAGATTACATTACAGTAAATATTTATTGTAATTTAATCTATCTCAATTTAACTGAAAGCCTTTTTAACGAGTTGTTATTATTTTAAAGAACCATATTTACAATTGAAGTTTTACATAGAAACGAAAGGACATATTTAAGTAGTACATTAAAAGTTTCATTTACTTTTAGCTAACCTTTATTACATTAATAATACAATATTGTATTTACAGACTTAAAAACGAGCAATTATTTATTGTGACATCGTCACACAATGCAGGGCTGCAATTTTTAATTTATTTAATTTAAGATATATGCTCTCCACCTCAAATTAGTAGTGCCTTGCCCCTGTACATCATACTTTTCCTGCTAGCAATAGAGTCTATCTGCTAGCAATAGAGGTCATCTATCTAACTCCTTTCAGGAGTAAATTTTTGAACTGAAATAATGTGACTTCCAGTTTAAAGCGGAAGTTCGTATACAGTTAATTGGGGCTTCCTACTCCTAAAAATTTCGTAAATGTTCATCTATCTAACTCCGTTCTCGAGATTAAGGACGGACGAACAGACAACAAAAAGATAGCTAAACGACAATGGAAATTTATAGGTCTACAATTTTTTTCAAATTGCATTCCAATAAATATTTACAGCTACATATTTCTGCCAACGTTCGTAGCATTTATTAAAATAGTGTTTCTGTCCATTCTGTGTTACCTCGTTGACTGCAATTTTCACAGTACTTTTCACTTCTGTGATTTGAATCTGTAATCTTCAGTATAGTTTTTATTTTTATTAAAACTTGACAAATCAGCAGGGACGCAGTTTAATGACTAAGAAGACTGCGGAAATACAGGTAAACTTAGTGAATATTTGAAAAAAACTCGTGTTTTTCCAAAGATTCACTAAGTGGGAAAACACCATGCACCAGAATATTGTAATAAATCCAGATTTCTTGTTGCCAGATATGATGCCGATTTTGTCTTACTGTGTCACAGAGGTGCTCGAGATGGTCGGTCGCTGTAGTACTACTCTTTGTTAACGGGTTTATCGTCGGAATAAACTCGTAATACACTAAGCATTTCACATTTTTTAAAAAAAATGGTGCGACGATTACACTTTAGGAAGTCGCAGAATGGATTGTAAAACTATTTGAATAAGTGGCACGAACGTTAGTAGAAGTACGCAACCGAAAAAGATACTTATTTTGAAGGTGTTTTGTAAATGCTTACATTGTTAACGTAATAAAAGTTGTATTAAAGTTTTGTTTATTTTGTAATAATAAAAATAAAAGGTTGGTTTATGTTATTGTTATATGTTCAATATGTTCAAGCAGAGCCAAATAAATATTCAAAAATGTTAACACTAAATCGAGAAATCAAATGATTGCATCATGTGATATCTGTTATTTTTTTACTGTCTTACATAAGTAATTTTCATTTCAACTTAAAAAAATTCTTATGCAGTTCATGTAAATTTTATATAATTTTTTAAACTTTAATCCAACTATATATAATATGTTAGATTTACATATACACTCGTCGAGTTTACAAAACAACAACGTGTCGAAATAAAAGCAACAACATCTAGGTGAGGAAGCAATAGAATAAAATGATAATGTTAACTCTTTATTTAAACGTTTCTAAACAGGACAAAATATTCTGTAGCAATATGTTAAATGCATTTCTAAACATTCTTAACTTTACTTTCCCAGATGTTATGTATACATAACAAGGGAAAGCATTGGAATCGTGTCAAATTTGACCCTCAAAGTTTTCTTTTTTTTGCAAATCTCTACGTTTTGAGAACTCCTGAACCCAAAAAATTTTCCCCCTAAAAATGAAAAAATATTTTGTGTATGTGTGTGTTGGCGTCTATAAAAAACGAAATTGGCATGATAGCTTGTGTATACGGCGCATTGATGCTCCTTATTAATAGCATTATAGTTCCTTAATATTAAAGAGGTTGAGTGACAGAGGGTTGTCATGTGTCATATGTCGAGAGACGTAAGACTTAATGAAGATGTTATTCGTCATCAACCATTACAATTTTTTTAAACTCATCACTACCATAAAAATTAAGCTTTTTTTCAATTCAATAATAACTAAAAATATAAAAAGTTATAAGTAAAGATTTCTTTTTCTAATAGTAAAACTGGTGGTATTTATCACGTATTTCTTAATTTTGCGCAATAAACAGAGACCATGATTAAAATAGTTCACTTTATTTCGCCTATTTTAACGATGCATTTCGGATTGATAGTTTTTCAATCTCTCTTCAGGTTCAGGCTTCAGTGTCGAAGGTTGTTGTCTACAGCGTAACGAACAAAAGATTAATTCGTGTTAACATACTTTTGTTATCCAGAATGATGCATATAGTACACAATTTGTACGTATCCTAATGGTGCAGTTTCTGCATATCAGTTTCTTTCACTTACTGGCATGTTTTCTTTGTCCATTATTGATGGACAAATGCAACACTTCTTTCATTTTCCACAATTATTATCTCCTTATCACCCCTTAGAAAGCTTTAACTTCATCAATGTGGTTCATAACCTGACGAAGGTTAAAATGCTATTGGTTCGGCCAGACCCAGAATGGGACGGCCGGGTAGTGAAGACGGGTTCTTACATATTCGGACGGATCACCCCCGAAAAATTCCTGGGGATTTTTCGACCCGTAAGTATTCGATTCAGGGTCCCCAGAGCGGAGGGCTGCCTGATGAAAGGGTTGTAAAGGGAGGATATTCTCATTGTGGGATAGCACATGTCCGACATAATATATATCGGCAAGTCTACAGTAATTGCCCTATTAGTTTTTGAAATAATTGGTCGGAAGAGACTTTTGTTACCACATACGCGCGCGCGCGCACACACACACACACACTCTACACTAATTATAATATCAATGATAGTTGAAAGGATCTGGCAATAGGCAATATTGTAGTTTGCAATTTCATACAACCAGTAAGCTATTTAATAGCTTATGTTGCAATTTTTCAGTAAGACAATACAGAGTGTCAACCAAAACACTATAAAAATATGGTTGCAAAACAAAGACAGAGCAAATTAGTGGACATACATATTAAATGTAAATTAATATTTTCTACTTGCTTATTATTTTAATATATGTTAATCTGATACAAACATATTTTATTATTAATTATCACTTTCTAGAAAAATTTTGTTGTTCCACCCATCACGATCTATTTCTATTAAAATAAAGTGTATAATTAGCTTATACATAATTTCATTTATTAATTCATTATGTTTTCTGGCGTTTGAAATATCTAAATATCATAAAAGTCTATTAACAAAATGAGAACTCGTTTATATTTATAAAGAACATGATTAGCCTTGCAAACACAATAATGAATTTGTAAGTCAACAATTAATCATCACTAAAGCTATTATATTATGAAATATCAATATTAAATATTTCATAAATTGTTTTGATAGTTATATAGAACTTTTTTAAATTTTCATAAGTAATAATAATTTAAAGGAAGCGTGTTGTGTTCAAATCAGTCCTTATAGGGCTGCAATTTGAAAGAAAAAATTCCATCGTTTGTCTGTCTGTCCTTCCTTAATCTCGAAAACGGAATTAGATAGATGAAAATCGAGACCAGATATTTATTTTCTATTATTTATTCATTTACTTTCTTGAAGAAACAGAATATTTAAGTCGCATAATCGAATACATAGTAATGTTCGTTTATTTTAGATACAAATTATGAATGATGTTTAATAAAGATATAATTTTCCAATTTAAACTTATTTTCTTAAAATATAACTCAATATTTAATAATAAATGGAATATGAAATATTACTGTATATAAAGAAAAATGTATAAATTATTTTTCAAAAGGTTTTTCATAATTATGTTCAATTACAAGGTTTCAGATATATTTTTTTAAATTTTAATTCAAATTTACTTTTAACTCTTACCTCATACAACTAGAAGAAGTTTTGGCATCATTATCTTGTCTTTCTGTTGTTTGTCCCATATTTGCAAATTTCTCAAGAAAAGAATCTGGACGTTGTTCTTCATCTCTATTTTTTCTGTTCCTCCATTTAGTTATAAACTGAAATTATATATTTACATATTAAATCGTTCTGCTAAAAAAATAATTTTATACACTATCAAACCTCTAAATAACGGCCAATGACAAACCTAAATAACCAGCAATGAGTTGCTTAAGTTTTCCGGCAACATTTTGGTGAAATAAATCCTCAGGAATTTTTCGGCCGGTCCGGATTCAATTCCGAATCGATCCGGATGTCGAGCCCCATCTCGCATCACCCGGCCGCCCCATTGTAGAGCTGACCGAACCCATAATTGTCTTGTTAAAGAGGCCTTCTTAGTGCCCTCAGAGCGGAAAGAGTTTTAAGAATCCCCGTGTTAAGTCAGTTGCAAAAGTAGAATCTATTGATAATGACTAATTCTGTACAGTAAATTATTTTCTGGCGTCATTTTGAGGGAGGTGGTATAGGATATTTTTTTGTCGTAGCAGTTGAAGTGACTGTTGTTTGGAGTTAATATTTTAAGCGTTTTTGTTCAAAAAGAAACGTTCCTGAAAAAATGGCTACCATTTTCAAGTGCCGTTATTGGAGGTTCTTATATACATTATATATATATAATACTACCATAAAAATTAAGCTTTTTTTCAATTCAATAATAACTAAAAATATAAAAAGTTATAAGTAAAGATTTCTTTTTCTAATAGTAAAACTGGTGGTATTTATCACGTATTTCTTAATTTTGCGCAATAAACAGAGACCATGATTAAAATAGTTCACTTTATTTCGCCTATTTTAACGATGCATTTCGGATTGATAGTTTTTCAATCTCTCTTCAGGTTCAGGCTTCAGTGTCGAAGGTTGTTGTCTACAGCGTAACGAACAAAAGATTAATTCGTGTTAACATACTTTTGTTATCCAGAATGATGCATATAGTACACAATTTGTACGTATCCTAATGGTGCAGTTTCTGCATATCAGTTTCTTTCACTTACTGGCATGTTTTCTTTGTCCATTATTGATGGACAAATGCAACACTTCTTTCATTTTCCACAATTATTATCTCCTTATCACCCCTTAGAAAGCTTTAACTTCATCAATGTGGTTCATAACCTGACGAAGGTTAAAATGCTATTGGTTCGGCCAGACCCAGAATGGGACGGCCGGGTAGTGAAGACGGGTTCTTACATATTCGGACGGATCACCCCCGAAAAATTCCTGGGGATTTTTCGACCCGTAAGTATTCGATTCAGGGTCCCCAGAGCGGAGGGCTGCCTGATGAAAGGGTTGTAAAGGGAGGATATTCTCATTGTGGGATAGCACATGTCCGACATAATATATATCGGCAAGTCTACAGTAATTGCCCTATTAGTTTTTGAAATAATTGGTCGGAAGAGACTTTTGTTACCACATACGCGCGCGCGCGCACACACACACACACACTCTACACTAATTATAATATCAATGATAGTTGAAAGGATCTGGCAATAGGCAATATTGTAGTTTGCAATTTCATACAACCAGTAAGCTATTTAATAGCTTATGTTGCAATTTTTCAGTAAGACAATACAGAGTGTCAACCAAAACACTATAAAAATATGGTTGCAAAACAAAGACAGAGCAAATTAGTGGACATACATATTAAATGTAAATTAATATTTTCTACTTGCTTATTATTTTAATATATGTTAATCTGATACAAACATATTTTATTATTAATTATCACTTTCTAGAAAAATTTTGTTGTTCCACCCATCACGATCTATTTCTATTAAAATAAAGTGTATAATTAGCTTATACATAATTTCATTTATTAATTCATTATGTTTTCTGGCGTTTGAAATATCTAAATATCATAAAAGTCTATTAACAAAATGAGAACTCGTTTATATTTATAAAGAACATGATTAGCCTTGCAAACACAATAATGAATTTGTAAGTCAACAATTAATCATCACTAAAGCTATTATATTATGAAATATCAATATTAAATATTTCATAAATTGTTTTGATAGTTATATAGAACTTTTTTAAATTTTCATAAGTAATAATAATTTAAAGGAAGCGTGTTGTGTTCAAATCAGTCCTTATAGGGCTGCAATTTGAAAGAAAAAATTCCATCGTTTGTCTGTCTGTCCTTCCTTAATCTCGAAAACGGAATTAGATAGATGAAAATCGAGACCAGATATTTATTTTCTATTATTTATTCATTTACTTTCTTGAAGAAACAGAATATTTAAGTCGCATAATCGAATACATAGTAATGTTCGTTTATTTTAGATACAAATTATGAATGATGTTTAATAAAGATATAATTTTCCAATTTAAACTTATTTTCTTAAAATATAACTCAATATTTAATAATAAATGGAATATGAAATATTACTGTATATAAAGAAAAATGTATAAATTATTTTTCAAAAGGTTTTTCATAATTATGTTCAATTACAAGGTTTCAGATATATTTTTTTAAATTTTAATTCAAATTTACTTTTAACTCTTACCTCATACAACTAGAAGAAGTTTTGGCATCATTATCTTGTCTTTCTGTTGTTTGTCCCATATTTGCAAATTTCTCAAGAAAAGAATCTGGACGTTGTTCTTCATCTCTATTTTTTCTGTTCCTCCATTTAGTTATAAACTGAAATTATATATTTACATATTAAATCGTTCTGCTAAAAAAATAATTTTATACACTATCAAACCTCTAAATAACGGCCAATGACAAACCTAAATAACCAGCAATGAGTTGCTTAAGTTTTCCGGCAACATTTTGGTGAAATAAATCCTCAGGAATTTTTCGGCCGGTCCGGATTCAATTCCGAATCGATCCGGATGTCGAGCCCCATCTCGCATCACCCGGCCGCCCCATTGTAGAGCTGACCGAACCCATAATTGTCTTGTTAAAGAGGCCTTCTTAGTGCCCTCAGAGCGGAAAGAGTTTTAAGAATCCCCGTGTTAAGTCAGTTGCAAAAGTAGAATCTATTGATAATGACTAATTCTGTACAGTAAATTATTTTCTGGCGTCATTTTGAGGGAGGTGGTATAGGATATTTTTTTGTCGTAGCAGTTGAAGTGACTGTTGTTTGGAGTTAATATTTTAAGCGTTTTTGTTCAAAAAGAAACGTTCCTGAAAAAATGGCTACCATTTTCAAGTGCCGTTATTGGAGGTTCTTATATACATTATATATATATATTAATGGGTTTAAGTTTATTTAGTTACGTCAACGCAGCACATGGATAATCTGCCGAGGGGAACTTTCTATGGGAAACGGACCCCTATATAAGTGCTACAAATGGGAAGAAAACCCGGAAAATTCCCGTTGGCAAAACCACAACCCCTCTATTAGTGTTCAGTGGTTTTATCCACTCTGCCACTGGTGGGCATTGTATATGAATGTCTGACAACAAATGAAACGTATAACTTGTTTTAATGCTTCGCGAATTATATATTTAATATTTCACAAATTTTAGAAAATGAACTCATTAATTAATAAAAATCAAAAGTGTAGTTGCTATTTATGGTAATAAACATTAAAAATACTATATTGACTAAAGTGAGCATTGATAGGCGCTTCAATTATGCCATTACTTTTGACTAGTACATTTGATGACAGTAGGTTACCCTTAGTAGCGGCGAAAAGTTATTGATGGCACATCAGTATATTCAGAAAATCCCGAGCCCTCGTTTGTTGTCTTTTATGGTAGGACTATAAACAGTTACATTCCAGCAGAATAATACTCGGTCGCACACAGCTAGTTTCCCAGGAATATATCTGTTACGTTGCCGAACTTCGTTGGTCTATTCGGTCACCAGATTTGGAGATCGGATAGACCAAGGAAGTGTGGCAACGTAACGAATTCGTCCAGAGAACATTTGTAGGACTAGATTGGATGCCAATTTAGGGTATCTACAAGTATGAGGGATTTGGAGCAGCAGTTGAAACATCTGTGGACAGATCTATTGTAGAATAGCATGTAGCATCTGTACGTCTGCATATATTCAGACAAGAGAAGATTCCATAAAAGATTGCTTTAAATCCTACTATTGTTGCACAGGAAATTGTCCCTTTGCTACGATGTTTACAATTTGTAATAATTTACTCATCGTAACGATGAGAAAATTATTACAAATTGTAATAATTTACTTACGTTAGCACTAATGAAGTTTTATTCAATTCCAGCACCTTCTTGATGCGTAACTGTTTTCTCAATGAGTGTATATACAAAGGCGATTCAACTTCTGTCCGGAATTTTAAAATTCCGATGGAACTGTATGTGTTATAAAGTGCCAGTTTATGCTTCTTTTTCTAGATATCCCCGCCACATGCTGACACTTTTCCCATCGCTTTGACATGCCTACAGTATAGAAGTCTTTTGGCTAGTATCTGAATTAGAGCATGACGAACTCTCTGAAGTCAGAAAGACTTCAGTTTTCTGAGTGAATCTTCTGTCTCCCAAAGCGTCCTTCAAAGGGCTAAACAGGTAATAATCGCACGATGACAGATCTGGACTATAGGCTACATAATCCAGAATTTCCCAATTAAGTCCGTTCATCGCCTCCAACTTGCGTGGCCCATCAGTGACCGAGTGGTTAAAACCACTAAACACTGGTAGTCATTTGTGGGTTCGCTCATCGTCAACGGGCCACACAGAGGTTTTTTTTTTTTTAAGTTAGTAACATCTAAATAGGACCAATTTCCATAGTCTTTCCGGGAGGCATTCCCCTCGGCACATCGCTCATGTGTTGCGTTGCGTATACGAATGAAACAAAACTAAACCAATCCAAAATGCAGGGGCCTGAATTTAATTATTTCAGAAAATTATTAAAATTGAAAATTTACTCAGACTTATTTAAATTCACAAGTATCTTTACCAATTAGATGAAATTTTTAATTTAACTTAAAATGAAATTAATAATTTATAATTCTTTTAAATATATAGAATCATCGATTTATGAAATGCACATAGGTAAATATTTGTAATAATCGATAACTTTCTTTTTTGTAATCTTTGAATGGATGAGTATAACATTTTCAAATTCTTCCAAAAGCTCAAATAAAATTGCTTTAGTTATTAAAATTCTTCACACAAAAAATAATTTTCTTCTTGATGAAAATTTATTTAAATATAACATTTTATAATGTAAACATATTTTCTCGATTTCCTATAGGAATGACAGAAATGAGTGAGTAATCCAAAATCATTAAGAAATAAAAATGATCGTTATTAGTAAATATGTATACATATTTTTTACTTATTACGTATATGTATATTCCGAATATGGAAAATTACAAACAGAGCAATCGAAAACTTCACAAACTCAAGTGGCACATAAAACCTTTAGCAAAAAGTAATATCTCTTTTCGATACGCACTCTCTGTTCATCGACATCAAAGGTATCCTATCCTGCCTCCGACTTATCTTCATTTATTCAGGCATAAGATATAACTATTGAATTTCGCTTCCGCAACAATTTGACTGAGAAACAGAGAGAAAGCAAAATATTCGCTAGAATATGCTGCTTTCATACATACATAAAAAATACATACAAGAAAGTATCAATTAAACTACAAGTCGTTTAATTGATATTTTCTTGTATGTATTTTTCCAGATATACTTGACTTGAAACGCCACTATTAAGTACAATGATATGCAATACGCGTAGCACTGATAAACAATATGCTCTCTTGAATTACGAGTATAGGCTGTATCATCAAAATTACCATTTTACTATGTGCATATATAATTACAGAGTTTATTGTCTGCTGTGAATACATATAATTTATTATAAAAATTCATATGTGTATAAGATAGTATACCTCGAAATAATAATAATAATATACAGTAATTATAGGAGGTATATATCTGTTAGAAGACGCAGTTAAATAAACAATAAATAATTTTTTTGCTGTTTTCAATTAATAGGCTATACAGTAGTTTAAAATATAAATATGACATTTACATATATGACATTTATTATATATAAATGTATGTAATAAATAAATCAATAATTTTACATTGAAGTCAAATTTTTATTCATAATTATCATACTGTATTTAAATTTTTTCAATGATATACAAAAGTAGCCTATTATATATCTATCCATAATAAAATATACAGTAATGGAATTATCCAAAATGCGATACATTGTGTGCTAACATCCATAAAAAATTCATATGGATGTCAGAAGGAAGTAAATTATTTTAAAATTGTAGAATTTTATCTGCCATAATAGGAAACTGTATATTTTTTTTTTATTTATTTCTCAAAAATTAACTGAAATGTAATTAAAACTGTTACAAATATAACTAAATTTATAATAGTACTGTATACCGCATAATTAAATTTATAATATATAAATTTAAAATCTTTAGTCTATATAACTTATATGTAAATGATATTAATAATGAGACAAAAACATTTTCTTTAAATAAATAATCATAGATATATAGACAACTTAATAGAATAATGCTTAATAATATTTAAAGACAATTATCACTGTGTTTTGACAATTCAAATTAAATAACTCATTAATAATATATTAATATTAACTCTATTAATCTGAAAATCATTTTAAAAATAACCTTAGAATTCACATTCTCAAAATATGGATTATAAAGAAATATTTTTCACTTTAACATGAATGGCTTTTCATGGAAGTATGGATTTATAAAACGATTTTTGAAGATATTTTCGATATTTTTGTGAAGAGAAGATTCTAGTATATTTAGAAAAAACACAATTATTATTTTAGAAAAAAAATAAGTGTTAGAAATATAACGAATATCGTTCAACGCTAGATTTGATTAACCTAAAGAAATGAAAGAATGAATATTTAATAAAATAAAAATAACTATTAATTAATTTTGTTATATAATAATATTAAACATCAATTTTAAAAACACACAAAGTAATAAATATGACTGTTTTATAACAGAAAATTTTATTATTAAGAATCATAATTTCACAAAAAAAGTAACTAAATTCTTTCTATTCAATAAAAAAACCACTCGTGATTTTAATAAAAAAATATTTTATATGCTCATGATTTACAATAACCACATTTGCTCTTTTTTTTAAAACAAATAAAATTTATAAAAATAAATATAATCCAATGTAAATAACGCAAGATATTTAATACAATCTTTAATATAAGTTAGCTATTTTATTTGCTGTCAATATAATTAGAGAGAAAGAAATACACTTAGCATAGAAAGAAAATATTTAACTAATCCTGTACTTTATCTTGTTATTTACACATTGACTTATACATTAATATTAATTATAATTATTTATCTAGTTTTAAATTTGAATAGCAATAAATTCTGTATTAAAAGAAAATTCGACGTATTAAATTTAATTAGTAAACATTTTTCGCATTTTAATGTTTTGATTTAAAATACATAAATAAAGTTTAATTGTCTAATGTTTTTTTTGTATGAAACAAGCTTCATATTTCATATCTAAATACAGACTTAATTTTTTAAATATGTTGTGCTACTAACAACAAAATAATATAAAATGAACGACAAACGTGATGAAAATATAAACAAATAAATGAACTAAAAAAATACAATATTATTATTTATTTCATTTCTTTTTTTTATATATACTTTTCAGCACTTAGTAAGCACTTAAAAAACTGACTGATTATTTGTGTAATACTAGGATATATAAAGATATACGATAATCAACAGTAGATAATAGTAATATTTGTAATGTTAAAAACTATAGATTAACAGTAAAATTTTTCTTAATTGTTAAAATATTTCTTTATTGTAACTTTGAGTTATCATGTACTTCCATAATCTATAAATTACAAATACTTTCTTACATATAACTTTTAAATTTAAATAATTTTTTTAAATTACACTTTATACAATTCATCTATAGTTTTCCAAGTGAAAACTGTTGAAATATAAATTTTGTTTTGATTGACTTTAACAAATAAACGAAAGAAAAATACAAATTGATCTAATCTGGCCTTGATACAGAATATGGATCAAGTTAAAGTTTGATCATTTTTATAACGGAATTGGCCTATCTGTTAACCTTGAAATACCAAATTCATGCTTAAAAGAAATGACATCCGATACTGATATACAATGGTTTCGATTATTAATCATTCATCTTCAAGTCAACGAACGTCAGGGAAGATCAATATGTTCATGGTCGACCCAATTTACTCTGCCCGACCTATATTTTTTATTTTGTTAAGAACTTTCTTTATGACTTAATCGCAAAACAAATTTACAAATTTACTTTGATACTTTCATTTAATAGAATATTATGTCATAAAAATAATAGATTATATAATTCAACTTTTGTTGTGCGTCATTTCTTTATACTTTAAGAAATAAATATCAGTTGAAAAAAAATGATAAATACATTTATTTATCAATGTAACTGCATATAATATATATGTGTGTGTTTATTTATTTATGGTATAGACCACAAGAACTTTTATTAAAATAATTTGTATGATATATAAAGAAAATTATTGTGTATAGATTTTATATGACACTGAATTTCTCTGTTAGAAATGTTTATAATTAAGCTATATTTTTTCATAGTAAAGTAATTCATCAATGATTCGATAGCTTAAAATATTAAATTAATATAGGTAATACAATAAAGTTTTAAACATCATAAATAAGCCTACTAGAAACAAATGATGTACGAAATATTGAAATTATTCTATATTTTGATTCATTATAAACTTCATAATATGTTAATATTTATATGTATGTATGTACTGTACTGTACCTATACTTATATATATACTTTTTCTATTATTTCTTTTTTTATTAATAATATGAATTATTATTTTAAATAATTTCAAATTATTCCATCTTTTCAAATATAAATTTGACATTTATTCATATGGAAAGTTTACGAAGTTCATAAAGGAGATTTATACTGTATATGTAATGAAAAATTAATCTAGAAAGTAATAAGGATTTAATAAGATTAAACTCAATTAACTAAAAACAATAGAAAATTAACGATTTTTATTATTTTGTTTGTTTAACAATATATGTAAGAATTAAAGCGAATAAACATGAATATGTAAATATTTGTTTCAGAAAGAGGTTAGACTGTACTTAATATTTCTTAGGCCAATTAGGCCAATTTCATTCTATAAATAGAGTAACTAATATTAAAAATTCTCGTCTTCTTTTTACATTATGAATAAGTCAGTGCTACTAATCAATTAGCTTATAACTATTATCAAAAAGTATTGCTTAATTTAATGAATCCATAAATTTCAAATTTTCTCCTTAAATTTCACCAGAAATTCTCAGATATTTTATTTCTTCCAGATTTCTAAAATGATTTTCATTTGCATCTTACTAATACCATGGATTTCTTATTGATAAATTTCGCAAATAATGTATAATACATGTGTAGAAGAGTTAATAAGAGTAATCTCTTTTATATTTAAAATCATATTCAAATATTTATGATGATTAAATTAAATAATTCAGAATTTATCTATTGTAAATAATTTAATAATGTTTTAATAATTATATTATTCCAGCTTGGAAATATCCTTACATTTATTTGTTATTGTATCTTATCAAATAAATAAGCTGCAATAACTATTAATTCGGAATAATATGAAATAATTGGATGAGTTACAGGAAACGAATTCTTTTATTTACTTATGAAAATATTATAAAATTAGTATCTTTGTACTGCCTTTATATATATCTACTGAATGAAAATAAATTTGATAACTTTTATAAAATTCTGTTCCACAGAAAATTATTTAAAATGTATTGTCTGGTGATATTATTCCTACAAAAACTGATGTCTGATTCTTTAATTTGTCTAAATAATATTGGACAGATAATCTCTTAATTGATTAGAAGTATTGACAATCGTTTACGCTGTTACAAAAAGTTGAAAGAAAATATCTATCTCCAATTCTTGGTCAAATGCGTGACACGAAATCATGACATACATTAGAAAACCAATATAATGCAGTTCTATGTAGACTTAGTGTGGCTTACTTTTAATGCGTTCAAAACATTAATATTATTTTTCAGAACAAACAACCTTACACACTTCAACGTTTTTTTTTTATTTCATTATTTACAGTGACTTCGTTATCTTATGTAATAAATTTATCTGAATTTTATAATCATTAAATTAAGATAAATTTACTTTTATATATTTTAATTGCTTAATACTATATTAATATTTATAATAGTATCTTAATTTGTGATTTTTTTTTAATCAGAAAAATAATTTTAAAAAGATTTTATTTAAATCAATTTAATACCTTATTTGAGATCAGAACTGATTTATAATAAGTGTCTATGTGTAATTTATGTACCAAAATATAATTTTTATATTAATAAATCAGCAATTACTATTATTATTTATTCTATTTTTAACACATGTTTGTTGTTTTTGATAGCAAAGTTAGAAAAAATCTATTGAGTTTTATAATTAAGAACTTTTACAAATTATAAAGTACAAAAAATATTGAGTGCAAGAGAAATAAAATTTTGATTTATTTTATTATTTCATGAAATATCAAAATTTTATTGGTCAAAACATGAAGCAAGAATAATGTACGCACATATAAATTAAATTATTAATCTCTAATAAAGGATCTAATTATTCAGTGCCAATTGATAACTATATAATTATTTGTCATGGTATTTAAAAAATTTCTTTCAAGTGAAATGAATACTGATATAGAAATATTGTAATTAATATTTAATGTTGATAATTCCAGTTTGTAAGTTGAATTTCATACTTAATAGTTTTCTTTTACAACACAAATTCATTTATTAAAATGTAAAAAATAGCATATTAATATTTTATTTTAAGTATTAAGCCCTTCTGAATGAAATGAATAATTAAGTAAATAAATAGAAAACGATCAAAATACTGTAAAATAGCTTAAATTTAATATTAATTTTTAATGTTTGAAGAATAAAAATTTGTTAAGATTATACTAAAAGATAATTTTAAAAAAGTAAATATATTTCTATTAAATAAAATTATCATAAGTTAATACATATTAGATTGATAAAAATGTTAAATATTGATTTTATGGTATTTCTTTGAAAACTGATATTAAGAATCAATCATTTTGGAACTGACACATTTTGAATTTAAAAAAACGCTCAATCAACGTTATATAATATACAGACTGAATTGGTTTTATTATATATATATATTTATTTATCTCGAAGCATATAACATTTAAGCTTAAATTCTGCGTCAAAACTTTGCTTTAAATCTTTAAACGTTTATTTACAATTTCCTTAATAACATAGAAAAATAATACTGTCTGTAAAATTTACCTGAAAGCGCTGAGTAATTCTGGCAAATGCGGTTTGATTTCTCTTTTCTTCAATCGCCGCTTGTTGTTCAATTCGAATTATTTCGGAACAAAGACTATTTCTTCTCGAAGAATGTCTCGAAATACATTCTACATTGCCACCCATTTCTTCTTTTTGTTGATTTGAAGTAGTTAAAAGAGAATTTGTAATTGAAGTTTCTTCTTCCGCTTCCTCTTTCTCAGGGACTTCTGACTTCTTGAACGACTTAAATGATCCAATATTTGGCATCCACATAATTCTAACTTTTTTCGATTATTTTCCAAATAAAACCGTTTAAAATTTTATGAGGAATCATGTTTGTTTCGATTCATTTAAGAATTACCTGAGTAAAGAATAAAAATTGAAGATAAGATAAATTAAACATTAAACTTTATAATATATAATTTATTAGCTGTATAACTAATATTTGATATGAAAAAATAATATTTAGAATTTTTTTATTCAGTAAAAGTTTAATACTCGAATAATTTTTTTAAAATTTAAACGTAGTTTATTATGAGATCTATCGCAATAAAAATTATTCTGAAAATGTAATCCGTAATAAAATATAATTTAGCCTTATGTGACAATTACAAATGTAATATAAGAAAGGAAATTTATCTGAATAGAATTTGAAATATATTTTCTATTTTACAAGTAGATCGGATTTTGTAAGAATCGCCGAGAAAGATATTTCTCAGTATATCATTGAGATACTTGTTCTCTTTCATGATATACTTCTTTCTATAATTTTAAACTGAAACTGTAGCTTTTATATAGCCTCATATATCTTTAAGTAACATCATCAATTTCAAAGGGGAAAGAAAAAACAATATTCAGAAAATGTTTCTTTAATTTATATAGAATTTACGATATAAAAGATATAATAATAATAATATATTGAATTAAAAGACACTAGAGTAAAATTTTCTTATGAAAATAAAAATTATTTCTTTGTTTAATTAATGTTTTTAAGGGAATTTATTTAAGAAAAGAGAAAAAATGATATTATTTAGAATTTTTTAAATGTAGCGAATTGTAATAAAATTTTATAAATTATTTTTTTGCTTTTTTTATCATCTTTCTTAACTTAAACGAGCACGCAGTTACGTCTTAAAATACAAATTAATCATAAATGTTTATTTTATCCGATCCGATTATTATACCTCACCTGAATATTATATTGGAGATAAGAAGTGTAACTTTTTATTTAGAGCAAAAATTTTACGTAAGCTCAACAGCAAAGACTTCTTGATAAGATCTGAACGGAACAAACGTCTACAGGTGTCGCACTTAGATCGAACAGCTACTTTGCGTGATCATTTTATTCGTTCTTTTTTACTAAATTGCTATCAAAGGACTACGATCAACCAGGACTACTTATGTACTGACAATTTGAATGTAGTCTTTTTTAGTGAAGCATATAAGATTATATTAAAGACTGATCATAATTTAACCTAATGGAAAAGTATATGATTGAATAGTATCTACTTATAAGGTATGTTTTTAATTCAATTAATCTAGAAAGTAATAAGGATTTAATAAGATTAAACTCAATTAACTAAAAACGATAGAAAATTAACGATTTTTATTATTTTGTTTGTTTAACAATATATGTAAGAATTAAAGCGAATAAACATGAATATGTAAATATTTGTTTCAGAAAGAGGTTAGACTGTACTTAATATTTCTTAGGCCAATTAGGCCAATTTCATTCTATAAATAGAGTAACTAATATTAAAAATTCTCGTCTTCTTTTTACATTATGAATAAGTCAGTGCTACTAATCAATTAGCTTATAACTATTATCAAAAAGTATTGCTTAATTTAATGAATCCATAAATTTCAAATTTTCTCCTTAAATTTCACCAGAAATTCTCAGATATTTTATTTCTTCCAGATTTCTAAAATGATTTTCATTTGCATCTTACTAATACCATGGATTTCTTATTGATAAATTTCGCAAATAATGTATAATACATGTGTAGAAGAGTTAATAAGAGTAATCTCTTTTATATTTAAAATCATATTCAAATATTTATGATGATTAAATTAAATAATTCAGAATTTATCTATTGTAAATAATTTAATAATGTTTTAATAATTATATTATTCCAGCTTGGAAATATCCTTACATTTATTTGTTATTGTATCTTATCAAATAAATAAGCTGCAATAACTATTAATTCGGAATAATATGAAATAATTGGATGAGTTACAGGAAACGAATTCTTTTATTTACTTATGAAAATATTATAAAATTAGTATCTTTGTACTGCCTTTATATATATCTACTGAATGAAAATAAATTTGATAACTTTTATAAAATTCTGTTCCACAGAAAATTATTTAAAATGTATTGTCTGGTGATATTATTCCTACAAAAACTGATGTCTGATTCTTTAATTTGTCTAAATAATATTGGACAGATAATCTCTTAATTGATTAGAAGTATTGACAATCGTTTACGCTGTTACAAAAAGTTGAAAGAAAATATCTATCTCCAATTCTTGGTCAAATGCGTGACACGAAATCATGACATACATTAGAAAACCAATATAATGCAGTTCTATGTAGACTTAGTGTGGCTTACTTTTAATGCGTTCAAAACATTAATATTATTTTTCAGAACAAACAACCTTACACACTTCAACGTTTTTTTTTTTTATTTCATTATTTACAGTGACTTCGTTATCTTATGTAATAAATTTATCTGAATTTTATAATCATTAAATTAAGATAAATTTACTTTTATATATTTTAATTGCTTAATACTATATTAATATTTATAATAGTATCTTAATTTGTGATTTTTTTTTAATCAGAAAAATAATTTTAAAAAGATTTTATTTAAATCAATTTAATACCTTATTTGAGATCAGAACTGATTTATAATAAGTGTCTATGTGTAATTTATGTACCAAAATATAATTTTTATATTAATAAATCAGCAATTACTATTATTATTTATTCTATTTTTAACACATGTTTGTTGTTTTTGATAGCAAAGTTAGAAAAAATCTATTGAGTTTTATAATTAAGAACTTTTACAAATTATAAAGTACAAAAAATATTGAGTGCAAGAGAAATAAAATTTTNTTAATATAAATCATAAAAACCCTCTTTCGATTTTCAAATTAGAAATTTTAAGTGACCGAAACAAAATAAATCTGTACTTAAAATCATTAACGCTTATTCAAATTAGGGTTATTGTTACAATTATTCGTACCTTTTTCAGGTATTATCCAGGAGAAAAGGTTCTTTTCTCAACTTCATTTTACTTTTGTTCGTTCTTTTTGTTCGCCGTGTTGTTATGGTAACTCGATACCACGTGATGCTATTTGTCAATTAATCGGATTTGATGATGCAACCGAATCATAAGCCACTTATGCTAATTTAAGATCGTTATTAAGCCAATCGTATGCCCTTTAAAAAAAAGTTAAATAACTGTTAAGTTATAATATATTTTAAATACATCGTAAATAAGAACTGAATGTAGCGTACCGATAACATTCATCGTACGAAAGCACTGTTCTGAAAGATTTACTATACTTTATTAATTGAATTTTTATAGATAATTTAAGTTAATTAATTTTGCATTAATATGCTAAATTAAATTTAGTTTATGTAAATGAGGAACTACATTGTAATAATAGATAAATCATACTGGTCTTTTAATATAGTATAAATCGATTATATTTTTTATAAGAAATAAAGCTGTTCATGTTTAAAAATTTAATTAAAGGTATATACGGTAGGCTATATATTTTCACTTTTGACACATTCCCTCCTGTGAACACTAAGAGGGTCTTTTTTAATCAAACCCATTAGACTACCCCCGGGAAATTTCAGGGTTCGTTCGATTCAAGCCACAGAGCAGTAGGCTAACGTCTTTATCGCCTCACCCATCCTGTTGTCTTAATTAAAGACATTTTCAATTAAGCCATTAGCAAAGATTAATTCTTCTTCACTTATTGGGCTGAAATTTGAAAAAATTGTAGATCTATAAATTTCCACTGTTCCTTTCTTAATCCCGAGAACGGAGTTAGATACATGAAAGTCAAGAAGATATAGAACGTTTAGGGACAGGAGGTCCTCGATTAACTGTATAGGAACTTCCGATTTGCATCGGAAGTTCCTGTATAGTTTTCCCTGAAAGGGGTTACATAGATGCTGGCACGACTCCATTACTAACGGAAAAGTATGATGTATAGGAGCAAGACACTACTGATTTGGGGTGGAGAGTATATATTTTAAATTAAATAAATTAAAAATTGCATCCCGGTATTGTGACGATGTCACAATATATAATTGCACCTTACTATATACAGTATAAAGTTTATTGTTTGCGAAACTTCTGTTTAGCGTCACATTAGATTTACTGTGTCAATTTTAAAGACAAACAAATGAAGCTAAATCGAGATATTAATTTAATTGTACCACTATTTAAATATCAAAGTGCAGTTTATCTAAAATTTAGTCGTTTTATGTAATTAATTTATAGTAATATATGAATTAAAATTTTCATAATCATAGAATATATAAGTTAATCTAATTTAGAATCTGAAAAAATAATTTTAAAATATCTTAATTTGTTTTGTAACAATAAAATTTTATTTAGTCAAAAGAATAAGATTTATTCAATCGAAATGATAAAATCTCTATATTATATTACATTTTAAAGAAAAAACAATCAAAATTTCTGCTAAATATAACTTACAGAGAATTCATAGGAAGTAATGCTGCGTTATAATCACATAATATAATCGATAAGTTCAATTTTCCTTATGTGCATCAGGATATTTATTAAAAATCAATTAATTGTAAAGAATGCTAATAGTTGATACAGAGACTGAAATTATCTAAATTTATTGTTAACCGCTGTTAATTTAAAAAATCGATTTGGATTTAAATAGAATGTTTCTAGGAAAATCAGAAACATTGTGTTTAAATGCAAATAAATGTTGGTGAATCCATACGTCTTTGTTACATAATTATCAAATTTAACAGAATATATTTTTTTCAAATACATTCGCTAAAACAGAATTATAGTTAGAACTGTAATAATTTACCGATGGTTATTTTTCTGTCTTACAAATAGGAAGCTCTACGTTATGATCTAAACAGGACGTATACAAAAAAACAAATAAATCNGTACTTTTTCGAATTTTTAATCCAAGTAATAATGTTAATTTTATAACAAGTATTTTAAATCTTATATGAGTTTTTTTTATTTAATAAATTAACCGAAAAAAATAGGAAAATGGATGCAAAATAAATATCTAATATTTTAAAAACAAATATTAGATGTTAAAACTATAATTGTATTTTTAGATAAATGTAACAATTTAAATACTTTCTTGGTTAATTTAATTATAAATTATTTCTGTTTAGTGTTTTCTTTTAGTGTTTTTGTTACGTCAATGTTCGATATCTGGATCATTAATTACAATTCACATAGGAAATGCTTATTTATTATTAACAGTAAAGTTTATTTTAATTTTTCATTTCAAATATGTGTTTCTATAATTATATCATATATAATTTCTGCTATTTTCTTAATTTTACTACTAGAATTTGGTAAAAATATATCTATCTTTTGTTTAGAAAAAAATATACTTATAACCCAATACTTAAATATATGATACACAATATAAGAAAAGGGTTCAAGTTACATAATTTGTCTTTTTTCAGCAATAATAACAAAAATAAAACGAAATTATAAATAATTACTGCTATTTTTTCTTGTTTTTTTCTGAAAAGTATCATTTATTTTATTAATTTTTTTTGTCTTTTTGATTTTAAGTCTATACACATTATCATTTACTTTTATTAAATCGCATTACGTTAGAAATTATATATTCCATTTCATTATTCTTGAAAAAATAAAATTAATTAATTGGTACTTGGTTACTTAAACATATTAAATATGGCTTTACCTAATAAATTAATTAATTTAATATAATTTGTTTTTTTGAATAATGAATTTTTAAAACAAAAATTATTTTGTTCACTTGGAAGGTGTTTATAATTATTTTACATTATTTTAATGTCAATTTCTATGTTACGATAAAAGTAATTAATAATGAAAGAAATCTTCATTACTGTACATCTATGATAACGAAGATTTCTTTTATTATTAATCATTTTTATTATTAAACTAACTAATGCATAAATTAACTCTACTAGAGGAGAATTCTTTATATTCCAACTATAAAAATATATTAGTTTGAATTTTTTCAAATTTTTACAAAACGTAGGCTTGAGTCCGAATTCTATCAATCTGTTCATCTACATCCAGAAATATTCTCTTACTTTATACTGATTATAGATTTAATTTTCTAGATTTCCAGAAGAGCTGAACTAAGAAAAGATTGTCTGAAATAAGATTAAGGAAAATAAAACGTATAAATTTTACAAAATCCATAATGTGAGATTGTAATAGGCTACACTAATAATTTCCCAGGTAAATTACTTGTGTTATATACTAAAACTTTGTATTTTTCCGAAATGTTTAATTTATTAGTTTACTATTCTTCAAAATATAATAAATTAAAAAAAAACTTAAAAATGTTCTTGATTAAATAATAATTAAGTAGTATATCTGTGAAACAATAATGCATTATATATAAAAGAATATCATTATTATTTATTTATTACTTTTGTTTAATGATAATGTTTTCGTTGAATTTACATTAAATTAGTTTTTCAAGGAGAGAGGTAAATGATAGATGCGAATAATATGTGCATTTAGAGATTAATTTGTTCAGTCCCAGTGTGAATTGGATGGTAAGTGAGAAACTTCTCCGAAAAATCCATCAATATATTCTATAGTTATTATTCCATCTAATTAATTACTGTATTTTTCGATTTTAACGCTTTAGTTCAGTTAAAAAGCATAATTATTTTTTTAAGAAGTGAATTTAAAAGTTTTAATTATTGCATAAAAAATAATAATATAATAAAATAATCAATCAATCAAACAAACTGTTTATTAAGTAATAAAGTTAAATTCGTGTTACATTAATTGTTTTATAGAATTTTTACTGTCAAAAAGTAACCAATATAAATAATTATTACACAATAGCGTTTTTAATGCATGTGATTTTTATACTCCTTATTTCCATTTTGTTCTTTAGAAATATTTTTAAAAAGTTATTTAAGCTATACATTTGAAATCTTGACAAGTCATTCAATTTCAGTCGGTAGTTTCAGATAGATGCAATTGTAATATTTCAAAAATTTTATTGATTTTACGCACTGTAGAAAATTTTCCAGTCATTCGGGAGATGAATAACTGAAAATTCTTTTGCATTTCACCAATGGAAGCAATCTGTTGTAAAGGCAATATATATACATTGTTTATAAATAGTGAGAATTTATTTAATCTTAATTGTAACAACAAACTTTTTATATTTATTCCTACTTTCATTGCCGTTTATTGTACAGTACAAAATGCATCTAATTTGCTCATCGATCTCCTTCAAAGTTTCAACAATCCTTAAGGTGTCGACCATTCCATTGGGAAGCTCTGACATATAGTATAAATTTTTATTTTTCAGTTCTTTGTTTAGAATACTTCCTTGCGTAAAACTTGTAATTGATCTAAATACAAAACTAAAGAAAGATTTAATATGACTACAGTAGAGCCTCGATTATCTGACTCCCGATTAACCGACCGTCCTAGTCGGCAAATTTCAAATGTCCACTAGTGATGTGGCGCTACAATATTTGGCCATGTCTTGGCTACTTTAATATTATTTTTACGTGTTTTAGCTGGCAACACTCATTCGACCATGAAAGGGAGCCAGTATTTAAACGAGGNCTAATAAATTAATTAATTTAATATAATTTGTTTTTTTGAATAATGAATTTTTAAAACAAAAATTATTTTGTTCACTTGGAAGGTGTTTATAATTATTTTACATTATTTTAATGTCAATTTCTATGTTACGATAAAAGTAATTAATAATGAAAGAAATCTTCATTACTGTACATCTATGATAACGAAGATTTCTTTTATTATTAATCATTTTTATTATTAAACTAACTAATGCATAAATTAACTCTACTAGAGGAGAATTCTTTATATTCCAACTATAAAAATATATTAGTTTGAATTTTTTCAAATTTTTACAAAACGTAGGCTTGAGTCCGAATTCTATCAATCTGTTCATCTACATCCAGAAATATTCTCTTACTTTATACTGATTATAGATTTAATTTTCTAGATTTCCAGAAGAGCTGAACTAAGAAAAGATTGTCTGAAATAAGATTAAGGAAAATAAAACGTATAA